CTGGTTGATCTGCTAATGTTATCAAGCCGTTTGTTAGTTGTCGTTCCTTAGTCGTGTTGTAGCATCGCGCGCGCGCCCACGCGCCGTGGCCTCGCGATGACGGCGTGGGGCACGACGCTGTCTTAGGACTGTTGGTGCTGTTGGCTTATGTGTGAGCCGCACTCCTTTGCCAACAACACTTTTAATAGGTATGCATGCTTCCAACAGAAAACCCGTTGCACCTTGATTTAAATTATTAACACCCTTAAGAAGTCACCTTCTGTCGTAGCAGCGGACCTGTCGTTCGCGAACAGCCATTAACATACTTATATGTTATCCGCCCGTTCTCTGTGCGTTTTTAGACATTATCGTGAATGGCTTGCCGTCCCGTAGGGTTTCAGAATGACAGCCCTCCTTAGACCATGCGCTCTCACTGTTCAGCCTGGAAACCAGACCATAGTCAGTAAGTTATTCTAAATTACGCCGTCCAGAATTGGAAGAAACGAATGCGAACGGCCAAGATGCCGACAAGTCGTTCGACACCCTACCCACCGGGGATCGTTCGCGCGTCGATGGTAGGACGCGGTGTTACCTCTAGGTTTTTCGTGGACTCCACACAGCCTCCGGCAAGTCATTGGCCAGCCGAAATTAAATGAATCTTGCAAAACACATGACATCTAAGTCCAGCAAACCTGGCTTTCTCGTGGAGAAAGAATGTAGGATATATGGTTGGCGACGCGAGTTAGAAACGTAGCCACCGAGTTCCCTAAAACTCCAATATAAAAACAGATATCCACTTAGTGGACGCATTCACAGTGGTTTGACTGTTTTCAAAACGAAGAATCTCTTAATTGACGACGAAGCCGATCAGAGGAAAATCGATAGCACGGACGAAATACTACAGACAGGGTCACCGATCGGCTTGGGCGTTAAATGGTGGCAGCGGCGCCTACCAGCAGACCTCTACCTAGTAAATGAAGCTATCTTAGGCCACCGGCTTCATCACAATACGACGACCGCGAATACATTCACATCCGACTCCGCCCTGCTCCTTTCTGCTTAGGTTTCACTGGATGGGACACAACCGCACACACCTTGAAATGGCCAAGCCACCGGTTAGATAAAATTCTAACGCTGCCCCACAACAGATAAACCCTCTGCTAGTTTGTATGACCTGTTTAGCAGACTACTCCGACGCACTTTCTGTCGGCGAGAATATGGATCACTTACTGGGAGGATGGTTTTCATGTTTGTATAAAGTATTATCACCTGAACCGCAACTATAATCCGAGATTTATTCCTCATACCACTAGTAGACGTGAGATTCAATGGCCTAGCCGGTGCAAAGTGGTTTTTCACCGCTGCTAGGTGGCCATTGAGCCCAATATCGATGAAAACGTCGTCCATTCTGTTGCGATGCGTATTTCGTTTATTACTATGCCGTTCGCTCTTTATAATGCGGTTTCCGCTTACCAATGGCGGTTGCTGGCGATTTTGGTCCCTTTATACGACGTCATTACATCTGGGCACGCAGTGACACGACACAATTAAAACCTGGATCCTCAAAAGTCCGTGTTCTTGCACGGTAAGCTAACATTCTGAGGCCACGGGACTCGGGTAGTCAGCATTTATGCGCCACGGAAGCTATAAGTTTCGTAGTGTAAGCCTCGTACTGCCGGCGTGTAATTCTCTACTTCGCATAGATACCTCCTCCCACACTGGCTGACAGAGAAACGACGTGAGTCCCAATGGACCGAAGTTAGTTATCATTGGATGCACTTAAGGTTCGCCTCGTGATGGCATCAATTTTAATGCTACGAAACATACTATTGTACGCCCAACCTTTCAATCTAGACGCTGTCACCAGTGACTTTGAGATAGAGGGAATCCTCTACTCGTGCGGCATAGCTGACGCTGAACACTTCGTCTGTTTTGTTAGTAAAATATTGTCTAAACCACCGCGCATATGTTACACCTACCGACGAGAACTGTTTGCACAGAAAACATTTGTTAAACAGGTCAAATCTTTGTCGGCAAGCATTTTACAACTAGAACTGATCACCAAGCCCTTCAATGACTAGCGGTCGTAAAAGATGCTTAATGACACTGGCCACGATCATAAGAGTGGTTTCAGTAATGTGATTTTACTTGCCAATATCAACTGAGCACGAAACACGCCAACCCGGATGCCCTGTAACGTCCCTCCCCGCCTACGGGGTAAGCTAGTAGCAATATTGCCACTATCGTCATTAGCGACTGTGCGCGACACTATTGGGTTGTTTTCCGAAGTACTTGCCCGGTTATAGCCATCGTATACTATCACCATCTGCTATCTAAATAGCGCGCGACGAATGAAGTGCCACATGGTTCGCCCGAGAACGTTCTTATCCTACTCTCCCGATGACCTCACTTTTATGTAAAATGAGGCATCAACGCCAACTCCCGGGTCGTAGTACTGTGCCAATATTTTCCGTCCTCGGAGGCAGATGGTGAATTGGGCGGACATTAGACGACGCTTTTGGTGGCTTTTGAGCAAGCAGCCGTCTTTTACAACACATGTCAAACATATTCTTCCTTTCAAAACCCCTATCCTGCACTCAGGACGCCCACTGGTTTTGCTTTCCATTTGATGACAACCGACGCCGTGGGCCTGCTGCCATGCACACCCAGCAGTAATCTGCACATCTGTCGAAGTACGATAGTCGACAACTCAAAGATTCCCAAATCACAAGTCGGGTAAAGCGGTCATCTGGACGACCTTCACTGAGGTCAAATAACTTGCGAGTGGCGCAGCAAGCAGTTGCAGCAAGTCGTCTCCCCAGACAAGTGACAATTGTTGTGGTAGTATGGTATTACCGACAGAGACAAGGGAGACTAGAATGGCCATATCTGGCGTATTAGCCGTCGTCAGCCAGGCATACCCAAACCCGAAGTGTGGAACACCCGAGGCTCGAACTCGCGACCCGTTAGTTAGACGTGTACGCCACTACTCACTTCTACTTAACAGGTCGCGAGTTAGAGCCTCGGGTGTTCCACACTTCGGGGTTGGGTATGACTGGCGGACGACGGCTAATAAGCCAGAAATGGCCATTCCAGTCTCTCTTGTCTTTGTCGGTAATACCATTCTACCTATATCATGCGCCGCTGTGCGGGTGCTGGTTGGGCTCGAGAGAGAGAGAGCCCCTAGGGCACAAGGGATCGAGTGAGTTCCGTAAGAACGATCGGTGAGCGCCCCCTACCATTGTAAATTCCCGATCGAAACCGACAAGGCAACGGGCTCGTGGCCCAGTGGTTAGAGGCGTTGACTTCTAAATAACAGGTCGCGAATTCGAGCCTCGGGTGTTCCACACTTCTGGGTTGGGTATGGCTGACTGACAACGACCAATAAGCCAGAAGTGGCCACTCCAGTCTCTCTTGTCTTTGTCGGTAATACCATTCTGCCTATATCATGCGCCGCTGTGCGGCTGCTGGTTGGGCTCGAGAGAGAGAGAACCCGTAAGGCACAACGGTACGAGTGAGTTCCGTAAGAAGGATCGATGAGCGCCCCCCTACAATTGTTGTGGTTTTCTACTCGTCAGCGTGGTGGTGCTTTGTCTGCCTGCAGCCAGTCAGACCTCGAACTCTCGCAACGCTAGTGCGGCTCAAACAATCGGTTGAAAGGGGTGTCAGGCGGACTGGGAGCGGCATGGATGAGCGGCCGCGCCGGTGACCACAAAGGCGACTGTAGACGGCCTCCAACGAAGCTGAAGGAATCGTTTATGCTTAAGAAGCAGGAAAGTGAATATGGTTTCCACCTCGTGGGGCCTAACCAGAGGTACAGAAAGAGAGCATCTAGCATTCAGATTTTGGAGGTTTATGAGGCGGTTGCAGTTGGAAGCAGCAGAATTGGAGGGACAGGTGGTAGACAGGATGGAAGGACGGAGGGTAGGAGAGAAGAAGTAGGCGGCCAGCAAGTTTTTGTACTTGGAGCCGGTCCAGCATTTTCTCTGTGACAGCCGCCTTGGTCCAACCGACGCTGACAACGTGTGAGAGTTCCCGAAACGGTCCTTCGTATGACGGCCCCAGCGGATCACACACATCTTCACACCGAAAAAACGTGTGAATGCAACTGGCCTACGCCCTCTCGATAGTAAAGTTTATCAATGGAGTTTGTGGCCGAACCGTTGACAGCGAATGCATAAATTGCCGTAGGCGATTCACAAAGTTGTTAG